TATTTTGCTGGAATACCATACAAATAAATTTAACTTATAGAGTTTGTTGAGAGATATCGCTTTGCTACTCAGATATGGATTAATTTTGATGAGTTGCGTTCAGTAAAAGCCTTATGTTTCTTTAAATGAAAATAGCTGTTGATCGAGACCTTGCGTTGATCGATAAAGATTCTTTTGTTGATTTTATGAAAAAACAAATAAAGCAACGCCGATACTAGAAAATTGCTGAAAACTAGCGTTATTTCTCTCTTTTACTATTTTGAAGCTATGAGAAAATAGTTCGATGCCGTTTTAATCTGAAATGCATACTAATAGTATTATTTTTTAGAATAGTTGTTGAAGTTTAGATCATTTTTGAAAATTTGAACTTCCAGATCTGACTCTTCTATGAACAATAATGATCACTTTAGTTTATAGGTAAGACTTCTTATAAATCTCAACCTTTTCTGCTTGTGTTTTCGGTGTTAACTAAATTGGTTATTACTAGAATTAAAAAGCAGTTGAACATAGCTGATGAAAAACGAGAATACAATTAATTATGAAATAGTAACTAGCAGAAAATGCTAAATATAAAAGAAGTCTTACCTTTGAATCCAAGTACTTATTATTGTTACTAGAGAGGTAAGGTTTAGAAATCTGAAATTCAGTCAAGACCTAAGCTTCAGTAATTATTCTAAAAAATACAAACATAAAGTTTCATTTGTATAGATTATAAAGAAATAACAAGGTGTTGCTATTAAAAATTTGAAATAGTGAAGAATGTACTAATAAAGATGAATTCAATCAAGTAGTTAAAAGCAAAGCTGAATTGGTTAACGAACGAAACATTAACCTCTTTTAAAAGGTCCTTATAAGAGATGATACTGAATCAAGTTAGTTAATAAAGTAAGAAAACATGAATAGAAGAAATTAAAATAGAATATTATTTACTGACATTTAGAATCTATTGCGCTATGCAGTTATGATTTAATTAAATATAAACAACGAAATTGAACTTTTTCAGATCTCTCTAAATACAAAATAACATTATTTTCTGAGATCAAATTTTATCCAAAATTGAATATTTTGTTGCAACATAACCTGATACAAATACAAGAAGTAATTCTCCTGATTTAGCTTTTTGAGATTTCATATCGAATATTTGAGTTCTAATGTAATTTATCCCCTGAGTTTTATTTTTATATAATTCACAATACATCTAATAGACATATAACAAACATTCTGATTTATTAAACATGAACATTTGTTGTTTATAATAACTATGAAAACAGTGAAATATCACTTGTGGCACTAAGTAGACGCACTCGATCACCTCCTCCATAAAGATTGACATGAAGTTGCCATGGAAATGGACATTTGTTAATATCAATATCTAATTGTTGACTTTTCAGATTTTGCTCATTAATATAATCAATCGTTCAATTAGTACAATCGACTATAAGTGTGATTACATCGTTTTCAACTGTATCAGAAAATTGGTCAGCATTTTGATCGTTTTGACGAATACCACCAAGAAAATAGTCATTGTAATCTGCCCATCCATATGCAGAAGAAGATTCATATGAGCACTCTGTCATTGGCTGTGATTTAGAGATAATACCAAAGAAAATCCATGTTCCTCTTGGATTTTTCTCAATTTGAAAACGAAATCTATGTATACCGTATGAGTAACCAAATTTTCCACGAACTTCGACAGAACAATCCCAAGCACTATGTTCGACAAGTCGACCGCTATCTTCAATATTAGCACCATTCAGACAACGTTCAAAGATATCTCCCGATGCTGTCATCTGTGGCTCAATCTGAAGATATTGATGCATACTAATATCATCAAATTCAGAAGATCGTGTAACCAGTTTAAGCTGATATATTAACGGTACTAATTGATCTTCTTTAATACTGTTCAATGATGGAAAGTTCATCAGTTCGTCTTTCAGTCGGCTCAAAGTTGATATCCAATTGATAAGATCTGTTTCAAAAAAATCATCTTCTTCACGTGCATTTTTTATTCGTTCTGTAAGAAGATTTAGTTCTTTTGATATTGTTCCTATGTAAAAAAAGAAGTAGATATCACAAATATAGCAGTCTGTATTTTCTTCAAAACTTTACTCTTATGTATATTTGAAAGTTGGACAATTTCTTGACGAGTCTCTTTAGCCATTTGTTGAATTTTCATAATCGATCTTTGTTCCCATTCATCAATATATTTTGTTAAAGGATTACTTTGATTTTTATTTTCAATGATTTTTTCTTGAAGACTATCATGTTCGACAATGATTTCATCGAGTTGATGATGTAGGGTTTGTCGATGTTCGGTAACATGTTTTGTACAAAATATTTGTGTACATCCTTCACATTTAAATAGACCAGCACCTTTACCACATGTAACGCAAGGTGTTTTAGAAGTTACAGAAGCCATGAAAATTTTAAGAAAAAACTTTCTTTTTTCTAATATAAGAATGGTGACGATGTTGTTTCTATTCTGTTGATAAAAGAAAGTGCACGTGTAGGAAGAAAAAAAAAACAAATTGATGATGTAAAGAGCATTGGGTAGCAAGTATAAGCTGTTCTTTTTTATGCCACCAGCTAAAATTTACATTTGAGTTTCGTAAGAACTAAAAAAGAATTTGCTTATGGAATAAAAACTAAATTCCAATTCTGATATTTTGTTAAAGACTTCTCATAAAAATATTTTGAATGAAAACGAACTCTGATATATTAACACAATTTGATGAACTTGTTTCTATTGGCAATTCGAAGGAAATCTCAAAAAATCACATCAAAGTGACTTTTGGAAATGATCAAAATTCAATAGAAAAAGTCGGTTCACATGTCCTATAAAAAGACATTATGCTTTGATCATCCTTCATTTTATTAGCTGAATAGTTTTGTTAAAACTTTATCAGATTTAATTATTTACTTATATTATTTCTATAAATTATTGATCTGTCATCAGTCGGGAACGCCACTAGGCAGGCGTAAGTTAACATTTTAAGTCACAAAGTGATGATCACTTTTAAGTTCGAATTCATCTGACTCTAGTATCGCAGTGTTTTTGAAATCTGGCTATCAGCTTCCATATGTCACGAGAGAGTAGAGATTTCTGAAATATTGAGATAAGAGTGTGTTAAGTTTGAACCTAAAGATGTATAAAACCATTCGTATGAGTATGATAAATTATATCTGCGTAGCAGGTTGTGTGGATAAACACAGATCCATTGGTTGAAATCGGGAATGTCGGTCTCATGTAAATGGAAAGCAAAATAGCTTTAAAATATCGTTTTCGAAAGTCTCAACCAATAACTTAGTTAATAATGAACGTAGCACATCATTATACTTACTGATTACAATTAGTATCAATACATATAATATTAGAACGTCTGTTATACTGCAGGTATTGTGTCAAAATATTGTCAATAGCTTTGGGCGTCGGAATGAAGATCGCCCAAAGAAACATGACCGAAAGGGTATGAATGTGGGTGGATGTAGATGCATGGGCTCTTCCGCATCCATGCCCCAAACATGTTTTGTTTTTCATTGAATTATACAATGTAAATGTTTTCTTAAAGTCTTAAAACATAGAATGTGGATAGATTACGCCATCTGATGGGCTTATTAAACCAACTTAAACTACATGTTTTGATAGGCTGTCACATTCACAGACTTGTATTGATAGGATACAGGAATGCGCAGAGAAGGAAGTCAATTCAAAAGCTGCCTGATATCAGCAGCCGTTAAGCAAGGCTCCAACGATCGTTGCAAGTAATTCGGAATCAACATCATTCTGTATACGCTTTTGCTTTATCTAGTTTCACTCTCAAGTTATACTAAACATTCAATTTTTAGTTTTTATTATATCTTGTACTTCTGTGCTTACATGTTATGTAGATGCCTAATCAAAGTTATTCTCTGTAATAAATAACACCAAACAAGTCCGGACAATGAACTAAAAATCTTTTATCTGTTATTTTATTGATAAAAATATCCTTTTTGTAAATATTATTCTAAAATTGACAAGTAAAAGTTGCGACTAGAGATTTATGGCGATCATAAATGTGCAATTCAGCCGTTGTTATTTTTCGTCGGTTTATCATTGTCCCGAGATTTTTTACGATTTTCTACTGATGATTGTTTGCTCTTTAGTTTGCGTTTTTTTGGATTACCATCATTAACTGAAATAAAAAAAGAAATCTACTAAATTCTACTAAAGCAGTCAAAATTACTCACGTTGAGTCATGTGATTTGAAATGCACCACTTCAACGGGATTTTGTTGACATACAGCAGACAAAACAAATGACAATTTTTTAAATCGATGTTTAAGTCTGTAGCAGTTTTTGTAGCATTTGAGCGTTTGGGATCGCTTGGCAAAATAAGTTGATTTGTTTTAGAATCATAGAACGGTACTAACGGCTGAGTTTGAGCAGAAATTAAGTTTGACTCATTACAAACACATATCTGCACACTGCAGAAAAAAGAAGCTATTAGTTCATCCTATGCACAATGAAAATGTGTAAACACCATGGAACTGCTGCAAGTGATCATTAGAAGATTATTTTATTCTATATATCTCGCAACACATTTCTTCATTCTTACTTTTTTCAATGCTCCGACATGTAATAAGAAAGTAGCTGATATATATAGTTATGAGATTTTATTCATATACAATCTCTAATCGAATATCAAAGGTGTTTTTCATGTTCTATGCTTATTATTGATTAACGTCTGTGATAATCTGCACTGAATATCTGACGAGCAGATGTAGTAGAATGAAGTTAAGATTACACATCATTCACGTTATCATATAATTAAAAATGGATCTGTTACTAGTTACTTGGTAACTTATCACTCCCAAGCTATTGCCATGCTCTGTCACTGACGTTTATCAGGGTATGTACGAGAAGACTAGAAGGGTAACTTTTTGTTACAATATTTAGTAGAATTTAAGAAAAATCATGACTTAATCTTTACATTTTCAGGGATTAATTTTAAAAAACTGATCTTACGTAAAAGAACCATTTTCTAAATCTGCTTGTTTTATCTTGATTTCAGTTGAATTGATTAATGGATCTTTTTGACCACTTTGATCTCTTAAAATCTTTTTTTCCAACTGTAAATAATGTATTCCGTTAGTTCCATTGTTTTCCGTAACAGTATGCACTTCCAGTGACCAAGAATTATTGTGATATTTAGGAGGAATGCCCAACTAAAGTGAACATTTAGAAATATAGTCAATAGAAATCAACTTATCTATGTCATACTTTTAACTTGGGATAACTGGTTTGATCTATTGTACTTAATTCGCCTTTAATCCAAAGACGCCTTGAGGGTTTCGACCTAGAGCAAAGTTTAAAATGTTTGTTTTTTCGCTAACAGAAAGTTTACTCATTTGAACCCAATTTCCCAAACGCATCAGCTTTTGAAAAACGTCTTTGTTCAGGATATACATTTTCACAAAACCGAAATTGAACTTGCTTTTCCAAATCATTTAATAGTTTTTCTAAAGAGAAAAGAACATTTTAATTAATTCTTCAGATATTTTATTTTGCCTTTACTTTCTCTTTATACTCACTATCTGTAATAATTATATGTTGATTGTCAATCGAGTTAATTGCTAACAGGAAAAAGTGAGACTTAAAAACTTATAAAAGTCGAATATTTTTCATACCCGACATCGAATTTTTTTTTATTGACTCAGTTACATCAGATCGTACGTAACACAAAAGGTAGACTGATTTCTCCATGTCCAATGCAGAATCAGTCTTTGTAACGAACTTGTCATCTGCTTTATACCATATGTTCGTGAATTCGTCTTTGAAATAACAAATATAATGACCAGTTGTCATTTTATTGCTATCATGAACAACAATGGCAAAAAGTTGATAAATTTCCTTTTCTTCAGTGATGTCAAACGAATAATCTTCACTTAACCATTGCTTAATACATAATTTTTCTGGATATTTAACAGCAAACTGTGATTTTTCCAGATCATTTGCTTTAAATCGTTTGAGTGAAATTAATAAAACTTTTGATAATGAGTTAATTCCCATTTTAGTTTTGGCATTCTGTTTAGATTGACATGAATGACAGTCATATGCAGTATTACCCGTTAAATACTCTTCTTTGAAATAAATATTTAAACAATCCGATAGTTCACCATTGTTTTCTGGTACAGGACATTCAAGGATATTTTGAGGCTCATCTGAAGTGTGTGATGACCTGCAATTTTCACATTCAGTAACACGTTTAATATAAAACTGAAAAACTTCGGATAATATTGATGGTTTTTCAATAATATTAAACAATTTCAATAAGAATTCATTACAATCTTGTTGAGTATCTATTTTGTCGAATTTCAGCGGCAACGATTGCAATTCATTGTAAAAGTCCGTTGGTGTAAATATTGGATTGTTATTGTTTTTAGATTGTTCGTTATGCATACCTTTCAATGTTTTGTCGATCAAACAAAGAAGACAACTCTGAGGCTGGCGACCTAAAAAAAAATTGATACAAATGGAAGGATTGGTTAGATGTGCAATAGTCATGATAACCATACATCTTTTAACCATTTTTGACGAAGAATTAGCACAAAAAGTTGAGCATGTCTATGTATCATTTAACGGATTTTCAGAACCTTTTCTGTTTAGTCAAAAAAAATTACCCATTGTTTAGTTAGTTTATTATACCCTTACCATGCTAGTATTGGGTGAAGATCAAAAAATTACAAAAAATACGCACAAAAAGAAAAAAAGAAAAAAAGAAAAAAGATAGAGAAAAAGAAAAAGAAAAATGTTCATTCGGGTGATTTCTTGTTTGACCATCGTAGAACACCAGAACCAAGTGCCGTTTTCCGCATATGACCTCCATACTTTGTGAGTGTGGTTTGGGTTATATCCATCATGAAGTACTTGGTAAAGAAGTTCAGCTTTTTCGTCTTGTTTGCATACCATTATTAGTTGTCTATTTTGTTTTGTGTGCACCATTGTTTTGCGCAGGCCTTCACATGTTTTGTAATACCTTGTGCTTTGAAAGTTCTTCGAGTACACTTTGAGTTTGGGCATGTATATGTACCATCTGTGTTTCTGTATCCATGCTTAGTTAAAGTTTCAGTCACCTTTGGAGGAGGTCCTATATTTCGGCGCTTATCTGCTTTCTGCTTGTATTTTTTAACTGTTTCTGTGATGTTTGAAGAAGGCTCTTTTGAGAAAGCGAATCTGTTGATTGTTTCCCTCCATTTGTTTTTGTCCATTGTTTCTCGTCGCCAATTACGTATGTTGAATTTTTCAAGATCTTCCATGATTTTATCTTCCCACCGTTTCCGCGTTCCCATATTTCTTGGTTTAGTTGATTGAGGAAAATAGGAGAACATAACTTTCTTGACCATCGACGATTTCTTGTCTTCATCCTCCATCCTGTTTACGTGGCCAAACCAACGAAGCCGGTTTCTGATGAGAATGTCGCGTAGATGTGGTTGTCCAGTGAGTTGTAGAAGTAGTTCGTTTGGCATACGATCTCCTAGATTTACTCCGATTATGGTTCTAAGACATTTGAAATAGAAAGTGTTGAGACGTTGTTCTTGAGTTGTTGTTGTTGACCACACCTCGCTGCCGTAAAGCAGCACAGGAAGCACACACGCACGAAAAATTCTTAGTTTCGCTTGAATAGAAACATTTTTTCTGTACCATATAACATGACGTAGCATATTGAACGCTGTTGAAGCCTTGGCTAGTCGAGTTTCAAGTTCCTTGTCAAGTGTTTGATCTCTTGAAAAATAACACCCGAGATATCGAAAATCGTTTACGTTTTCAACCATTTCATTTCGGATGGTTATCTTCGATTGAGCATTGTGAATTTCTTTGTTTTTGGTGACCTTGTTTGTTAATAGATCTTGTTCCAATTGTTTCAGCGTCATGATACATGTCTTTTTCACATTCATTGTCAAGCCAAATTTTTGGGTGGTTTGCTCAAAGCATTGAATAAACAATTCCAGATCGGTGCCGCTTTCGCACATTACCACTAGATCGTCAGCATATATTAAAAGAAGAATATCTAAATTATCATATGGATCGCTGTTTGGATGATAAAAATCGTTGCTGCCATGTGCTAATTTGATCCCTTTGATACCGAGAATTTTGGCTTGCTCGATGACTTGTCTAATGATGAAGTCGAATAAAACATTAAAGAGAATGCAAGAAGGAATACCACCTTGTTGAACTCCTGAGTTGATGTTGAAATGATCAGATAGTTCTCCATTGATACGTACCTGCGCTTTTGGATCCTTGTATAGTAGTTTGAGCATTCTCACAATTTTGTCAGTGAGGCCATAGTGCCGACAAATTTGCCAAAGAAGATCACGATCTACCGAATCATAAGCCTTCATGATATCGACGAAACACATAGACAGAGATTTGTTGATGTTGTAGGACTTCTCCATGACCATTTTGAGAATGAATATTTGGTCGATTGTCGAGCGATTGGATCTAAAGCCAGCTTGTTCTTCAGTAGTTGTTTATCGAGCAGGTCTTGAACACGATTAAGAATAATTCTGGAGAAGATTTTGCTTGTCACCACGAGGAGAGATATACCACGATAGTTATCACATACCTTCTTATCGCCTTTATTTTTATAGAGACGAATCAGGATTGCTGTTGACCAATCTTCAATTATTGTTTCATTTTCCCATATGTCCACGAAAATCTCATGCAACCATTTTGCCATTGGTAGACCACCAGCTTTTATAAGATCAGCAGAGATTTCATCATTGCCAGGCGCTTTTCCATTTTTCATTTGTTTTATTGCGCGTTGGACTTCCCCCAGAGATGGTGTTTGCTCTTGTCGTCGTTGTTCCGTTGTAGTTATTGTAACTGCATGGATTTGTTGAATTGTTATTGGATCTACATGAGATGGTACATTCAGGAGATCATTGAAATACTCTTTCCAGCGAGTTAAACTTTGTTTTGGATTAGTTAGAAGTTCTCCATGTTTATCTAAAATTGGTAAATTTTCAGTTTTTGCTTTACCTCCTCTTAAACGACGTATCATTGCGTATGCAGTTGATGGGTCATGCTGCTTGATTGCATTTTCAATTTCCAAACTGATTTCATCCCAATACTCAATCTGCCTTGCATCAATTTTCTTCTTGGTTAAATTGCGAAGTCGACGATAGCTATTACGGCATCTTGTTTCTAAATATGTACCACGTGAATTCTGCCATTTAAGAAATGCTTTTGATTTTTTGTCTACAACATCCAGAATTTCATCAGTTAGCCAATCTTTCTGCTTTTTGTTGGTTCTATCTAGTTCGAAAGTTGTTTTACTTGCTTGATGTACATACTCGACAAAAGCGTTGTATTTGTCATCGATTGTTGTTGACGAAGATGTTTGTTGTTGTTGCAGTTGCGGGCGGCAATGTAGTTGTGCTTGAAAGGTCAACTTGCATTGTTCATTTTTGAGCTTCTTTGGATCTAGACGTAGTATTTGACTTTTGATTGTTTTTCTTCTGCTTTTTAGGTGAAATTTTAGCTTGATTCGAAGCAGGTGATGATCTGTACCAATTGCGCCTGCTGCTGTACGATGAACTCGTACGTCTTCAACACTTGATCGAAATTGTTTATTGACGAGATTGTAGTCCAGCATATGCCAAGTCTTTCGACCAGGGTGCATCCAGCTTTTTTGATGAATGGGCTTGTGCTTGAAGAAGGTGTTCGATACGATGAGATTATTGATGGAGCAAAAGTCGATTAGACGTTCACCGTTGTAGTTTATCTCATCTACAGCATGCGGACCGATTACATTTCTGCTTGTTATGTGTTGTTGTATAGCTACGCGTGCGTTGAAATCTCCGATTATGAGAGTCATGTCGCTGTTTGGTGCTTTGTCCAAGGTATTTTGCAAATCATTGTAAAAAGAATCTGTTTTTGAGGTGTCTGCACTTGGATTGATAGGAGCGTATACTGCAATCACAGTGACATTTATTGGGTTGCATGCTAACCGGACCATCACAATACGTTCATTTATGGCTTCCCAGATTGATCCGAGATTCTTCCACGCTGTGGTCGCTTGTTTGTTGAGGCATATGGCAACTCCATGTGCTGAACGAGTTTTGTCTGTACTTGCATGTCCTGAAAAAATAAAAGTGTACTCACCAATGGTTGTTGTACCATAATCATACATTGCTGTTTCACTAAGTGCAGCTACTTGCACTCGGTGTTTCTTGAGCTGTTTGACTATCAGCTCTTTTTTTGATCGACGAAAACATGATCGAACGTTCCATCCTCCGAAGAACGTTGTTTTACGTGCATTTATGCACTGATTTTGATCCTGTTCATTAGCCAGCAAGTTTAATCGTCCCTTAAATAGGTGGCTAACCTAGAGAAGAGACACGTTGGCTACCGGTAGCCCAGGGGCGCCATCCTCTTTCCGAGAGCAGAGGTCAAACCCTGTGGATGTCTAGTGACATCCCCGGCAGGCGGAATTACCCATTGTCTCACTCAGGGGTTTGATGAAAAATGAAATATGTCAAACCAACATTGGAATAGTACAAAAAAATAATTTTTAAGCTGTTTTAAGCTTGCAGAGTTCCCATTAGGAGATACTTAAAAGTTATTAGTAAGATTTTTAACGAGTTTATATTTCATCAGACCCCTGAGAGGTACCACGGGTAAATTTTTTGACGAAAAAAAAAACGTTCTAGAAATCCTTTCAATGATACATAGACATATTCAGCTTTTTGTGCTCATTCCGAATATCACATTTATTTTGAGTAAATTTCAATGTTTCCCAATCGAACTCTCAAAAATATTGGCCGAAAATAGAGAAAAATTGCGTTTCAAGAGTATTGTGATTAGGAATTTTTTAGGTTGTCAGACATTTTTTACTTCACAAAATATGTGATTTTGTAGCTTTTTACAGGGACTATCAAATAGACACTATCAGAGTTGTGGTTTTTTCATTTTTTTTGTTTATTCATATATTTTTCCGACGATAAAAGCGCCTAATACATAACTGTACATAGGATAATAGTTTCTACCTGCGGATCTGCCCTATGTCTCATTAAGTTAAACAATCAATTAGTGATTTAAATTAAAAACTGAAGCCTCATCAAAGATATATCAAATTCATAACATCAGCTGTATTTTGTCGAGTCTTTTTTTTTGTCAAATAGAATCCAGTCAGAAACGGGTAATTCTTAGAATACTGACCAAAAATCGATTAAATTATTAGTAGCCTTTTTCTTTCAAAATCCTGTCAAAAATTCATGAAATCAATACCAAAATACTAGTCTCAACATGCTCTTTCATTTCATATATGATTCATTAAAGTTGGCACAAGAAAGTACGGATAGGTCGATTTGGCTTCAAATGCGTTCCCGTCTTTTTGTTCAAGTGTTAATCTTTGTCTTATTAAGTTATGCAGGAAAAAGAAAGATATGCTTACATGTCTCGGAATGATTGCTATTAAAAATCCAATCCTTCAATGGCGTTGTATGAGCTAAAACTTGTATAATTGCATTCATATAGCAAGTATTTCCCATATTTTTTAAACCACATAAAATTAATGATGCTGTTGATTTGGTTAAAAAACAAAGCAATGAATAATATTATTAAATAAGTCCATAGAAAAAGGACTAAGTCACTGTCATACAGTAGGCAATAAGTGCATCTCAAATTCTTGTTTCTTTCATATAGTCAAAATTAAATGAATTGCATCGATACGATTTTTCTTTCTCTTAAGAAATGTTGACATAATTAAAACTGATTGTTTTCATAACCTAGTGATAACCTACCAGAGATGTCCATCGCGGCTGAAAATCTGCCGCTGCCGCGCCGCGGCCTTAGAAAAAAAAAGCTGCCGCACCGCTGCCGCGCCGCGACGGTTTATAAAAAAATGTTGCCGCGACGCTGCCGCACCGCGATGACTTATAAAAGAAACGCTGCCGCGCCGCTGCCGCGATGAATTATAAAATAAACGTGCCGCCACCGCGCCGCTGCCGCGACGATTTTCAAAAAAGTGTTTCTAATTTCACTGCTGTGACTATATTTGACCAGAGATATGGGTACTAGTCCATCAGATTTATTCAATATCAGGGCGTTTCATTTGTAAATCGTGAAATTCTATTAAATTCATACAGTTTTTCAATGTCCTCCAAAAAAATCCTGCCGCTGCCGCGCCGCTGCCGCGATGGTTTTTTAAAAAACCTGCCGCTACCGCGCCGCTGCCGCGATGACTTTTAAAAAAATCTGCCGCTACCGCGCCGCTGCCGCGGTGATTTTTTTTAAAAACCTGCCGCTGCCGCGCCGCCACCGCCACCGCGGCAGCGGCAGCGGCGCGGCAGCGCCGCGATGGACATCTCTGTAACCTACTTAAAGTTAGTAGCTAAGATCCGAGTTTCTATTCCTCATCGAAGATGATTGTTAACTGAAAGAATGTGGTACTGAAAAAATAAAATTTCGGTGGTAGAGAAACAGAAAAATGGCAATGATTTCGGACTTGAGCAACTTTTTTTCTTCACTTCCTCTGGCTGATTTGCAACTATTTTATGAACATCTGAAAAGCTCTAAGTACAATAGTTACCCATTTTTTCATAAGAATTTCAACTCGTAAACTTGAAACATTAATCAACAGATCTAATGATAACTAAGAACGTTTTTAAATCATTAGTGCATCTTGTTTTCAACTCTCATCGAAAAATCTATCGACAAGAAAACTTATGAACAAACGAGGAAGCAGTCAAATTCAGTGAGTATTCATTTCCGTATTAAATATCATCTAAACTTGATTTTTCGAAGCATCGAAAATGTTTCTTTCTAGAACCAGAAAAAAAACCCATTTCACATAACACATTAAGGTGAAAGAATGTTTTTCTACGTTTGAAAATTGTAAGATCATCGTGTTGGTCAACGACTGGAATGCGTCTAAATGTACACTCCAAACGGATGGAAACCGATCAGCCGTATGATTTTAGCAGCTTTTAACAGGATATACACAGGTATTTTAGGCAACCCAATTCCAAGTAGGATGTCATTACCACAACATAAGATGACGTAGTATTTAGATGTTATTGTCCTCTAAATTTTTCTTAAGTTTCCTAACTTAATAGGGCCATGTTTCATGGATCGTTAGGATCACTTCATGAATATCGAACCTCTATTTTTCTGTAACTATTCCTGTCTCTATAGTGGCTATAACTACCGTTCAAACACAGATAAGAAACTTTCAAACGTAAAAATATATGTTTGAATTTCTTTGAAGAGAGCGAGCGTCTAAAGAAGAAAGTGATGTTCAACAACTAAAAAATTAGCAGACATCTCAATGAAATGTTATAGAAAGAATAAAACCTATGTTCAATGGGAAAGAAAATCACATGCACATTTTTGTCATCGATATATCTACCAAAAAATGTTGATTTAAAAAATTGTTTTCTCTTTTTTAGCCCTACACTCTTTCAGGTACTAAGAACCGACTGTTTTTATCGGTTCGGCTACCGGCTTCTTCACAGCGATTCACAGACAGTTTGTTTCAGTAAACCACGATTTTTTCCCATTAACCACTAATAAATAATGATCCGTTTTTTGTGACATAAGTATTTCTCATTCAAAAACAATCAGTTGGCCGTAAAGAAAGGCTATTTTTTTTTTCAAAGAAGCTTACACAATGATTGATCTGACGATGATAGCGAATTAATTGCTGACGGATCATCACTGGTATTAACGTTCAATTGATGTTTTTCTGGAGTTGACATCAGCGCAGGAAGTTGGATACTTTTATGGATCCCTAAAAAACGAAAAGTGATTGCGAGTAAAAGACAAATATAAATCACATACTACTATTTGAATTATCTTCTGACGTAGTTGAAGCTGCATACACCGGGGTGTGATTGTCATTTATCACAGTTGTTACATTTGCAGCATTCATTTTATCTGTCACCGGATTAGACATTGCATGGGAATATATAGACTCCTCTAAATAAACAAACAAAAATTTGAGATCTCTTATCTACCTTTTTTCTTCGATTTGAAAATAGAATATACTCTTGCGTGTTT